CAGGTGTTGACATTAATTCCATACTTCGAGGAATCACTTTTAAACACATCCCACGAGAAGAGAATCATTTGGTAGACGCATTAGCTACCATGTCGTCCATGTTCAAAGTCAGATGTGATAATGAAGCTCCTCGAATCAATATTGAGATATTAGATGAACCTGCATATTGCTACAAAGTTGATACTGATGGAGCAGAGGAAAAGCCTTGGTACGATGAAGTGAAAAGATACCTAGAAGCCTAAGAGTACCCCGAGGGGGCATCTATCAACGATAAGAAATTCCTACGGAGGTTCTCTGCCAAATTATTTCTGAGTAACAAAATTTTGTACAAGCGTAATCATGATTCGACTCTGCTTCGTTGTGTAGACAAGAAGGAAGCTGAGAAGATTATGGAAGATATGCATGAAGGGGTCTTTGGTACTCATTCCAGTAGGCATATGATGGCTAAGAAAATTCTGAGAGCCGTATATTATTGTTCCACCATAGAAACTGATTGCCATCGCCATTCCAGAACTTATCACAAATGCCAGATTTATGCTGACAAAGTACATGTGCCTCTGGTTCCTCTGAATGTCTTGACTGCTTCGTGGCCGTTTGCAATGTGGGGCATTGATATGATTGAAGAGATTAAGCCTACTGCATCCAATGGGCACCGTTTCATCCTGGTCGCTGTTAATACGACATCTTCCTCTACTTTCAACACCACCTCCGCAGTTGCTTTGATACGAGGATCTTCTTTGATTTGATGGATTTCCTTCTTTCTAGTTTCCCATACCATTCGAATTGTTGTAGCCACCTTTGCCTTTGTTATCGAATAATTTTCCTTGACATTTCTTTTCTCTTGCTGATTGCGCTTGCAGAGTCATATCACTCATTGGTTTTCTTGCAACTCTTTTAGCCATTATTTGTTCATGAGATTCAAACGTTCATTGAAGCTCTTCTTTTGTCAATGTTGACAAATTTTCGATTCTTCTATGACTACTACCACATGATCGAATTTTGGAGCCAATGACCTCAAGATCTTTGCAATAATTGATCTTGATGTCAAGCTTCTCCACATACCTTGATTTGATTCACCAGTTTCATAATCATAGTAAAGAAATCAGTTATGCTTTCACTTTCTTCCATCTGAAGCGGTTCATGCGTTCTTTTGTGAGTTTGTAACGTCATCTCTTTCACCTTCTCAGTGCCTCCAAACAATTTCTCCAGAATATCCCACTATTCTTTTGCTGATTTAATATCACTCAGCTTTTCAAAATTATCTGGACTAACACATTATTGAATTATAAATAGAGCTTTATAAATCTCCTTCTTCAATTCTTTGTGTGCAACCTCTTGTTCATTTTCTGCCTCTTCTTCAAGTGGTGTTATTCATTCCTTCACAAGATCCCAAAGATCTTGATAATGGAAAACGATCTTCATCTGCTTACACCAATTTTCATAGTTGTTATCTTTCAGAATTGGAAGACTCGCTAGAAAATGCCCATTCGGACGATTCATCGCGTTATGCTTCCCAAGAATCACACAACGAGTGCTCTAGATAATAGATGTTGGAATTACACCCAAAACTTGGAGAATTTCGAATCATTCTTGAGGAACAAGAATCAATCTTCCGATCAATTTCGCCTCTTGTTCTTCACTCTTCACTCTAGCGAATCAACCACACCTTAATTGTAAGATGATTCTGCGCATACATAATTATGGGAGAAGAAAGAAATTGAATTGAGGAAGAAAAGAGAAATTAAGGTTTTAGAGAAAAGGAGAAGAAGATAAATATTTTTGCAGAGTATCTCTTTAGTTACAAATTGGAATTTTATTCAACTTCTCTCAATGCAACAATATTATTGTGTTTTTCAATGATAAGGTGTCTCCCTATTTATACGCCGAAGTTGCTTGTTCACTAAGTTCTCTCAAACTAACTAATTAACACAAGCAAAACAATACTAAGTCAAAATTCTATCGAGACTAACTTCTTCGACATTTTAACATTTATACGATTTCAAAACACAACACATTTCAACACAAAAAATTACATTCTCAACCATTCCATATCAAATAAATTTGGTATTTTGCTAGTAAAATAATAATAAAAGTAAAACCCCTCCTCTTTTACTTTGTTTTGTCTTTTTTTTATTTATTTTTTAAACTCAAAACCCCTACTCTTACAAAAACAATAAACTCCAGAAATAAACTAACAAAACTAAGCAGCTCCGTCATCTTCCCCATTCTTCATAGCCGCAGCCGGCCGTCAAATGCAAAACCTCGCCGGGAAACACACCCGGACTTCCCACCGGCCGCCTTCAACAGTTACAAACTCCTCCAACTTTCTCTTTTTCCACGTATTCATTCATTTTCCTCACTTTCCCCCTTTTCTCCATCGCGCGCATGAACACCATTTTATCAATAGCATTGCGGCCACACCACCGTTTCATCCCAATCCTCTTAAAAATGATAACAACACAAACAAAACCTCTCCAAAACCCTATCACCACCACCACAACCAATCCAAACAACAACAACAACAACACCGTTTCAAAAATCAACAACCAGACCGTAAAATCGAATTTCTCCGATTTAATCACCCTAGGCGGTTTCCTCCGGTCCTCGAAACAACTTCGCCACGACTCAGTCCTCTTCAATCGACTGGTCCCGGTGCTCGCCCGCCTCATCCACCGATACAAAACACCTCAAATGATTCTCTCCGAGTTAGAGTCAATTGGTTGTATTAATCTAGCCAACACAAACAGAAACCCTAATCCTTTGTTACTCTTGTTGAGAATGTTCTCTCGTGCAGGTAATTATACCATGCTCATTGAAACTTGTCTGCACATGGTAGAATTTCATGGTTTTGCTATTTTTCGGAATACATTTGCTTCGAATTTAGTTATGGAGTCTATGTTTAAAACCTCTCAACCCGAACGGGCTTTTTATATTATGGAAAATACCAAGTTACCTAATTTTCTCACTTTCAACATTGCACTTTTCCACCTTTCCAATTTAAATGACATTACCAGTGTTTCGTATGTTCTTAGACAGATGTTGAGATTGCGTTATCGTCCTAATCATGCCACTTTTAGTGCGGTTCTGAATTCGTTTTGTAAAATTAATGCGTTTCGGCAAGTTTATCAGATTTTGGGTCTGATGGTTGGTTTAGAGATTGAGTTTTCTGTTAATGTTTGGACTGTACTCATTCATAAGTTCTGCAAATTGCGTAGGCTAGATGTTGCAAGCGATTTGTTGTACAAAATGATTAGAACCGGCTGTTCTCCTAATGTTGTCACGTATACCGCATTAATCAAGGCATTTATGGAATCCAATATGGTGACTCATGCCTTACATTTGTTTAATGACATGGTTTCTGCTGGCCTAGATCCGGATTTAGTTCTTTCTAATGTGTTAATTGATTGTTTTTTGAAATCCGGAATGCATGATGATGCAATTGAAGTTTTTCATCTGTTGTCGGAACAAAAAAATATGAAACCTGATTTGTATACCCTTACTTCATTGTTGTCTATAGTTTGTCGATCTGAACGGTTTGATCTCTTACCCAAAATAGTCCGAGCTTGCAGATATATAGGTGGTGATTTAGTGTTCTGCAATGCTGTTTTAAGCTCTTTTATTAAGTCTGGCCGTTCTTCTCGTGCTCTTGAATACTATGAACATATGATTGTTAAAGGTTTTAAGCCGGATAAATATAGTATTGCTGGGCTACTAAGTGCACTTTGTGCTGAGAGAAGAATTGATGAAGCAGTTAATGTGTATCGAGGTAGTGCTATGATGTATCATGCGAATGATGCTCTCATACATACTGTGTTAACGAGTGGGCTTATAAATGCTGGTCAGTATCACTTGGCTTCCATTGTTTTTAGATCAGCAACAGTCCAGAAATGTCCGCTTGACAGTGAAGCATATGCTGCTGGCATCCGTGCACATCTTAGAAGTGGATTAACTCTAGAGGCCAACACATTATTTGACCAGATGAAGAACAAAGGCTTGGAACCTAATGTTCAGACATTTAATATGATTCTTTTCAGTTCATTTAAAGAAAAAGATCTTCAAAAGATTAAACTGTTGCTGAAAGAGATGATTGATTCAAGGATTGAGTTGGGTGACCGGAATTTCTTCAACTTGTGTAAATTACAATCTAGTTGGAATTTGTTGGCTGAAATGAGAGATTTGGGTTTATTATCTGCTAAGGTGTTGCATACCTTAAGCTGTGGTAGGCATCCTGAAAGTGTAAAGGAAAATTATAAACACTGTGCTGAAGTTGATAAAGAATGCAATCTAGTTCTGGACTCATCCAGTTCTGAGTATATGTCAGATGTAGCTGTGTCAGTTGGTTGAACTCTTATTGTTACTACTATGTTGTGGCCAGCATCTGATTGAATGGTTCATTCAATTCCTATACCATGAAATGCGGCAATCTATCCACAAACTGGTACTAGTTATCATGTCTTATATTCTTTACTTGTATTGTATTTTATTTTCTACAAGAAGGCTAAATATTATTGTTTTCCAACAAGCCTCAAATCTTGTTGGGGTGCTCGTGTCTTCCTGTATCTTGTGTTTCTACCCCTTATTGTTTGTCCTTGATTTGGATGTTTTTTTTTGCAAGATTGCATATATTGGTTGTGGTGACCGATTTCAAAGGCATATTTGATTGGAATGCCAGAGGTTTGAACATATCATGGTAACTATGATAATATGTATATATTTATATTTATAATTCCTTACTTTACTTTGTTTTACAACAAGCCTACAAAATTCAAGTTTGTTTCTCGTCATGGATGAATGTTTCTATGTTTAATTTTGTTAATTAGGTTACTCTATGAGGAAGGAAGGTTCTTATCCCATGGACGTTTGCCTGTGTTCTGATTAATTCAGCATCCCAACAGGTTGCTGTTTTCATGCTGTCTGTCATCACTTCTTGTAAATAGTTATCATAATGGACGTGGTTCCTCTCAACGGGATGGTGGACCCATTTCCAATGAAAAAGTTATTTAAAGCCTCATAGCAACCACCTCAACAGGCAATATTCCTTGTCCCGCCTGATACCCAACAATCTTTACTTTCCGATCCTGGAAGTGATTTTGTTTCCCATCGTTGTCTCTTGAGTGACTCCTTACTTTCTTTCCAGAACAGTGGTTCTTTAGATCACAGACAGATGGAGTAAGACATTCCCCTTCTTCTAATCTCTGCTCATGTTTTTGTTTAGCTGCATATTTCTCCTATGTTTATTTTGACACCTTAGTCTCATTTGCAGATAGGATAGACTGATACTTTCTTGAGTCATATTTTGACTCATTTACAGACCTTTGTCCATTTGGTTGTTCTTTCCAAGGTAAAGTTGTTTTCTGCACACCATGCTTATCTTTCTTTTTTTTGGGGGGACAAAACAGTGAGGGACGGTAATTTCTTCAATTTTCTTGGTAAACATAGAAATGTTATTTATTAAAACTCCACTAGCTCTGCTGATAGTTTCTTGTTTTTAGTTAAACTCCGGTCGAGTTAAGCAGTGGTGGTGAGCTTCAAATAACTTTATGCCTAAGCCGTGGTTACCGACTAAAGGGCCACTTTGGTGTTTTTTTTGGTAAGTGCTCTGTTGCTGATGTTTTCAGGTGATTATCATAAAGTCAAAGGGTAGGATACTATGGAAAAATAACCGAATTGCAAGTTGCAACTACTTTAGGACTGTACGTAATCCATTGGATGATTATAATTTGGTTAGTTTCTTATTCTATCTTACTGGCATCAGTTGCATTTTCTTATTTTCAAATTCACAATCTTTTCTTTCAAATACGGAAATGACAAGGTCCTCCCACCTATATGATTCAGCCAACAAAATATTTGTACCATTATACTCTGTCTTCTATTAAAATTGCAATATTAACGTGTTTCATACTTATTATATATTTTCAAGAAATAAATATACATATCCTTCTAAAGAGAAAACATTGGTTTACGCTTTTGAATAGATTTTTTTTCTTCTGATGCTTCTATATATATATATATATTTGTAGAGAGAAGACTTGTAGATTATGTAGTAAGGAGGGTATAGATTAGATGAAGGATAGTCAAATCACTAGAAGTAGAGAAAGACTTGGAAAAATCATAAAAGAAACTGTGAAAACTGAATAATATATTTCAAGTGTGAATAATTTACAAACACTAATATCTTTATATAAACTATTCTAACCTAATGAGTTTGACTGATAGACCAAAAGTCCGAATACATATTGTAACAATAGTAAAAAGAAATTATTTACAACACTTCCCATCAAGAAGGTGAATAAATAGTTATCATTCCCAGCTTGTAGATTGGACGAGGTATTAATAAGGATCATATTTTAAGTTTAAATTGAATCTTGAATTATAGACAGGGACGTGTAAAGAAATTGTGGGGACTTAGGCAAGACTATCATGTAGACTTAAAAATGTCATTAAAAAACAATTGGATGTAGGGTTTGGTCCTCTGAAAATTGACCAGCTGATTTTTTGTTAATAACTAGAAACTAGAAAATGAGCTACACTTTGACTTATATTATAGAATATTAGAGTAATAATAATCACCATATGTCTAGGTAGACCTACTAGTATAGTATGATATAAAAGACATCAATACAATGGATGGGAAATTTGAGACCATAGGTACCTTAGTTGTCTAGGTGAGGACTAGCCACGGCCATGATTGTACAATAGTTATATTGCTAAAAAATAGTTTATACAATAATTTAAAAGATTGTGTTAGAGAAATCTATAGTATAAGATAAACTATATATTTGTGATAATTAATCATTATTTCCATTGAAAATAATAAAGACCACACATGGAAAACATATAAGACTGCAAATATTTAAAATTTCCTAAATTAGCAAAATGTCCTATTTGTTTTCTGTGGTAGTTCTTCAGATATTATTCCCGTTTTATCGTAAATTTAAGGTTTGGGGTAACAGAAATCAAGACAACTATATGGCATTGACATTTGTGCAATTATTTAACAGCACATAAATATTTGGCATGGTTTGATTATTTGATTGTGACCACTGAGGTAACGACATAAGAGTTCCTGCTTTATTCAAGGCTAACACATCATTATCATCCATATTATTTAGCATGCAAATTTTGTAATTATTTAATGTTAAATGTCTGTTTATATAGAATTCATTCCCGCTAGAGAAACTGGCTACTGAGAAGTAAATTTACTCTGTTTCACATTCAATATTCCTCTTTTATAATCTAACAGTTAGCCTTTGTATTTTTCACAGACCACACAAACCAGAAGCTTTAATTGAATATGTCCAAGGTCAAAGTTTTTGAACGAGTGACAGGAGTGTAGACTCAGTATCTAGCAGAGTGATGGATTCCAGGTATGATAGCATTATAAGAGAGTTTGTGAATGGGCTGCAACTCAAAAGCTTGCAATTCAGAACCCGAAACCATCCTTATGGAGTCACAATTTTTCCGGTGTTGAACATCTAAATGCACTTAGTGTTTTTGTCAAAGTGCAAAGAAATATACTGCTCTTGCCCAATCTTAATTATCATATATATGATTAGAATTATTTTAGCATCAACCAGAACTTTGTTGTGTTCTGGTTTTATCTACACTTGTAATTTGTAATTTGTTATAGGTGGATTATTTTCTTAGGAATGGTTTAAGATGGAAGCACAACTGTCTCACAGCAGATAACAATTTCTCCCAATCACATCTATCTATTATGAGAAAGTTGGGTCCCTATTACACTCATGTTCGCTTCTCTGCCTCAAAATTTCCTGCATGCTTGCCTATACGAAATATATATTTTTTCTCCTATATCTTCTTATATGATTGTTTTATTATATTAGTATATTTGTTCTTATTCTTACTTTACAGTGATGCCTTTTATGTATCCTGTTAAAATTTTCAAATTTCGAACAAGCAGTTTTCCTTCTGCATAACATTTCAATTTTCCACTTTACCCTTTATGAGACTACACACGCCACCTCATCATTTTGGTGTTGAAGAGATGCAGTATTCTGATAGTGGAAAAGAGATGCAATGTTCCAATAGTAGGAAATATGAATTTTTAAATGTTTTGTTTCTCTCTTCTTTGTTTTTCAATGTTGGTGTTGCAGATACGCAGAGGACAAAGCTCATCTTTGTTTTTCAATGTTGGTGTTGCAGATATGCAGTGGACAAGGCTTTAGTGGGGGCAGTGAGCAATGTTGCAGAACACAATACTGATGTGTAACCTTATCCTTGGTTGGAGTTCAAAGCCTACATAGATCACTTATTATTATATCACCATATTCTATTTTGAGCAAGTGTATTTGACATGATAGTTGTGTTGTGTTTCACGTTGACCACATATTCCAGATTCAGATTTGAAGGTACATGAAAACAACTGAGGAAATCTTTTACTTATATCCATACATGTGTGGTATAATTTTTGTATATTTTTCCTCCTTCGAATGTTGTAGTTTACATATAAAAGAATTGGGAAAAAAATGCTTATCCTGTCCTCCTTGTAATTGCAAATGAACTTATGTAAGGGAGCTTAAAAGTAGTTCAAACTACGTGGTAGTTAAATTTTCTTTTCTTAGACGCTCTTTGGTACAATAACAACAATAAAGTCTTATGTCACTAAGTGGAGTAAATTACATGGATCAAATTAGACATAAAATTCTATAAAAAACCATGTTTCTATTTAACCTCAGGTTCTGTTCGATAAAAAATAAAAAATACGAGATATCTCATAAATTAGCTGATAGCATATAGTTGATAATGGATAAACTAGACAATCAAATAATTATATTTGTAGGGTTTGGTAAAATTAGTCGCCAAGCTAATTACAAAATATGAAATGACATAAAAAGATATTTTGAAATAATATATTTTTCTCAAATGAAGTAACAAGGATAAAATTGAGATAAAAATGTTAAATTACAAAATGTTTGAAATATTTTATCAATAAACCCTATAAATTAGTAATTACAAACTATAAGCTTTGTTGATATTTGGAAATATATAGTGTTAAGAATATTTGTATGTAAAATAGTCTCACATCAATTATATCATGTAATTAGTTGTAATCTCTTTATATATAATAAAGTCTCCGTAGTACTTTCAAAACACACGGTTTAACTTAAATGTCTCTTAGCCTCTTCTAATTTAATATGGTATTTAGAGCCTTTTAAGAAGTAATTCTTCGCCGTGCTTTATCCGGTTGACTCACTGTCTTCCTGTGAGAAATTTTTTTTTGTAAACCGTGTCATCATTCTGGTTTACCTCACATTTTTTAAATTTTTTTCAGCGACCTCCGCCGCCGCACTGTCCACGAGAATTTGTTTTTCTCGAGGCGCTACTGTTCATCGCCGCCGTCATTGTTTGTCGCAGTCGCACTGTTCATCGTCGCCGCTACTGTTCACGATGTTTAAGAGTTTGAGGGTTAGTAATATTTATATGCTTGACTTAAGAGAAATTTCCTTAAATAATGGCCAATGCCTTATTACCTTGAGTGAAGACTCTTGGCTATGGCATAGACGTTTGACTCACGTCAACTTTGATTTACTTAATAAAATATTTACAAAAGATTTAGTAGTTGGTCTACCAAAAATGAATTTTTCAAAAGACCATCTATGTGATGTATGTCAAAAGGGTAAGCAAACAAGGGCCTCCTTTAAATCAAAGAATGTTGTTTCAACATTGAGACCACTTGAGCTCCTTCACATGGATTTGTTTGGTCCCTCGCGGACTAAAAACATAGGTGGAAATTATTATGGCATTGTAATTGTAGACGATTACTCAAGATTTTGTTGGACTATCTTCTTACGTAGCAAAGATAAAACGTTCTCGACTTTCACAAGTTTTGCCAAGTTAGCTAAAAAAAATTAAGTTTAAAAATTATTTCCATTCGAAGTGATCATGAAGGTGAGTTTGAAAATCATCTCTTTGAAGAATATTGTGATAAATTTGGAATTGAACATAACTTTTCAGCTCCTAAAACTCCACAACAAAATTGTGTTGTGGAGCGTAAAAATCGTGTTTTAGCGGAGTTGACAAGAACAATGCTCAATGATTGTGGGCTACCAAAATACTTTTGGGCCAATGCTGTTAGCACGACATGTTATGTCTTGAATAAGATACTTATTTGTCCCATTCTTGACAAAACTCCTTATGAACTTTTAAAGGATAGAAAGCCAAATTTATCCCATCTTCGTGTCTTTGGATGTAAATGTTTTATTTTAAATAATGGTAAATATAATCTTAGAAAATTTAACGCGAAAGCCAATGAAAGCATTTTTCTTGGATACTCTCAATCTTGCAAAGCATATAGGGTTTATAATAAAGATTACTTATTGTCGAGGAGTCGGTCCATGTTACTTT